TAAGTGGCTGGGAGTAAAAGTTCCGGGGGCCAAGTTCACGGTGACGCGTGAAGCCCTGCTCCCCGCAGCTGGCCCCCACACGACCGGGTGACTCCCCCATATTGCTGTCTTCACAGGGCTCCCCAGCTCCAGACTGAATCTCCTCCCAGGTCTGACTTCTTCCCCCCGCTCCGCACCCTTCTCAGCACTTGTTTTCACCCCTTATCAGTTAGTCACAGAGTAACTGACATTTCTTGAGCTCCAACCATGTGGTTGCTTTGTAAGCTCTAATGGACAGTGTTTTGACATAGGTTCTGGATTAGTGTGCCCATTTTGCAGATGAGGAAACTGAGGCTCAGGGAGGTTGAGTGGATCTGATTGGGTGCCAGAGGGAGCCAAGCGCCCACCACCGCAGACTTCCGGAGACCCCTCTCTCCCCTCCCGCCCCACAGCATCCGCGCAGCGAGCTCCCCACACCCAAGCCGAGGACCGCCTCTTCAAACACCTCTTTAAGGACTACAACCGCTGGGCACGGCCCGTGCCCAACACCTCGGATGTGGTGATCGTGCGCTTCGGACTGTCCATCGCCCAGCTGATCGATGTGGTGCGTCCGTCCCACCATCCTTTGCCCCCTTGGGGTCTGCCCCAGACACCGCCCCTTTCCCGGCTCCTCCGTCCGCCCCTCCTCCTTCCAGCCCTCCAGCCCCGGCGGTGCTCCGTCTGCCTCCCTCCCTCCCTCCGGCTCTCAGCCTCCGAGCCCCTCCTGGGAGCGCGCTGACTGGCAGCAGCGCAGTGGGTTTTCTAGACGCCCGCCTTGTTCCACCTGCAGCGAGCCCAGAGCGCCCAGTGGCCTGTGCGGTCCCGAACCTGGGTGAGGGTGGCGGTGTCAGGACAGATGACAGGTGGGCTGGGCTTAGAGTGTCACTCAAGAGGTTCTCTGGTGAGTGACAGTGGTGGGTGGGGAGATGCTGAACCGGCGCGTCCCACTCTATCCTGTTTTCTGGGGCTAGTTGGTCACTCCGGTCTCTCTCTTTCCCGCTCCGGGCCAGGATGAGAAGAACCAGATGATGACCACCAACGTCTGGCTAAAGCAGGTGAGGGTCCTTCCCTGGGCCGGAGTAGGGATGGCCAGGAGTGGGGTGGGAACCCACAGACCTCAGACCCCTGGACCATTCCACTAGCAGCACTTTTCTGAATTCTTCTTTTCCCTAAGAGTTGCTGCTCAGGATGTTCCCAAAGCCCACTGACAGCAGACTGCTTCTCGTGAGGCGCTGTGCTCTGGTGGCCAGGCTCCGTGTCCAGCGCCTAAGAATGTCACTTACAAGAACCACGTGGTCCCCTTTCTGGGAGTGGGCATTTCCTACATCCTTGCTACTCTTTGCATATCAGGTCCCTGAGTCATCACCAAAAACTAAGGGAAAACCAATTCTGCCTGTTTCACAGCTGAGGACAGCAGAAGCAGAGTGCAGCTCGGCTAGAGAACCCAGCTGTGCCCCACTCAGAACCCCAGGCTCCTTCTCTGTTCTGTGTCTACCCTGCCTAACAAACCACCCCAAAACTCACTGGCTTAAAGCAACAGACAGCTTATTATATCTCGAGGTTTTATGGCCAGGAGTTTTAGTGGTTTCTTCTGCTTGGCGTGGGGACTCCTGGGGTTACTTGGTGGCATTTGCTGGACTGATCTGCTCTGGAGTGTCTAAGATATTTTCACTCACATGTCCATCCCTCAGCAGAGGTGTCTGGAAGGCTCTGGGAGGTTCTGTGAGGTTCTGGAAGGTTCTGGAAGTCAGGCCCAGCTGGACCCTTCTCCTTCTCCAGGCACTCTCAGGGTCTCTCTAAGTATTCTCTCCAGCAAGAGAGTTGGACTCCTCATCTGGTGGCCCATGGACCACAGAGCAAAGGTCCCAAAAGAAAGGAAACGAAGTTGCTGTCTCTTAAGGCCCAGAGACTGGCCCAGTATCAATCCTGGCAATAGATGTGTGGCCGTCTATGATGTGCCACACTCAGGGGCAGAACTGGGGGGGCACAGGCTTTATTCTCCCTGCTTCAGCCCCTCACTCTCAGCCCAGCCCCTTCCCCAGACCTTGAAGTGGAGACCGTGGGGAAGATGAGAAAGAGGACCTAGCCCTTTGCTCACACCCTTCGGTTGTTTTCTCCCCGCACCCCACTGGCAACCTAACCCTCCCCTACTGCAGAGGCTGGTGCTCAGAAAACCACAACCATCAGAATTTTCATGGACGTTTCTGTTTTGAGTCTTTTGAATGAATGCCTTACTCTCTGGCAGTGTCTGGGTATGCATCCTGCCCCCACAGTCTGTAGATGGTGTCGGGCAGTGTGCTGGCCATTCAGTTTTTATCATTGGATGCTAAGATGGAAGGCATGGAGCAGACCTCTCTGATGCCCTTTAGCTTGGAGCCGTGGA